TAACTATTAAACAAATGCAATTCAACCCTTGCACCTTTAACTAATTCTAATTAATCCAAAATTTATTTCTTATTAATTTTGATTAATTCTAAATTAATTATTAACAATTTCTAATTAATTTATTAAACAACTAATAAATTAAAAAATTATTTCCTCATACTCCTAAAGGTGTTCCTAGTGAATTCTAGTTATTGAGGGCAACCCAAAAAGGACTTTGCTTTTATTCCAAAAGGTTATACCAATTTAGTTATAACCTTAGACACCCATTCCAACAGTCTCCCACTTGGATAAGTCATCAACTACAATTGAAAATATGGACCTTGAATAATTAGCAAAGAGTGCTTTCCAAAGCCACTGCCAAACGCTGAATTCAATCAGGCATTGACCCTAAGATAAGTGATCAACTATTCATTCGTTATACAAGATATAGTATGCACATGAGACATGAATACAAATCAATCTCATAGTCCAAGATTCTGTTTCCCAATTTCCATTTCATGATGAATTTATTAGACTATGAATTGAACACATCAATTTAGTCCAGTCTGGGTCCAACACTATAAAGTCAACATCAAATCACCAAGGGGTGCAAAGATATTGGTTTTTCTTTAATAGGAAAAATGAACGAATAAACTTTGAATACATAATTATATCCATTACTCATCATTCCATACGTGGAACTAAATTTTATAACATCTAGTTGTGGATGCGTTAATGCAATAGCACTGCACAACAAAATTGTAAACTATAACTTATACATCTCGAATTGAAGAATAGAAGATATTATCGTCTTAGAATTATTCGTGATTTAATCCATGAAGTAATCTCTAAACGTGGGTTTAACTAATACTTAAAATCGCTAATTAAGCACTCATGAGTATAGCAACAACCTCCATGCCATGTCTAATCACTATAAACAATATACTAATACTCCATGACAATCATAAATCAATACTTACTTCCTAAAAGTATGACCGGCTGTAGCGTTTCGAATAATTTAATACACAGGAAGTAAACATGAAAAATGAAAAAAAAGAATCAATAATTGAAGAAGTTTGTACACGTACTCATAAATAAATCTCCATTACTTAATCACCAAAACAATTACAATTTATTTTGTTATATTTTTTCAAACTATCAACTAATTACTAAAACTAACATCATCTCTTAACCCTATGCTCCTAGTATGTTCGAAGTGCTTGTTCTTGATCAACGCCTTTATAAAACGATCATCAGGTTTATCCTATGATGATACCCGATTCACCACGAGGTCGCCATCTTCAACTCTATGTTGGATGTAATGGTATTTTCTCAGGATGTGCGTAGACCTCCCATGATCCTTTCGTTCTTTTGTTAAAGCAATCACACATTCATTGTCACAGAAAATTTCTATAGGATCTTGAATTGATGGAACAACTCGGAGATCACCAATGAAATTCTTCAGCCATGTCGCTTCCTTTTCCGCCTTGCTTTTTGCGATGTACTCTGACTTACAAGTAGAATCAACCACCATTTTCAGCTTGGAACTTTTCCAAGTTACTGATCTACCATTCAATAGGAATACCTAGTCAGACTGCGAACAAAAGTCATCTCTATTCGTTTGAAAGATGGAATCACTATAACAACTTATTCTTAACTCATCTTTACCACTGAATACTATTCTTTGGTTCTCCATAAATACTTAATAATATTTTATAATGTTGTCCAATGGGCACCGCCAAGATTATCCTGAAATCGACTTACCATGCTCAAGTGATAAGACACATCAAGGCGAGTAGAAGTCATAACATACATGATTGATCTTATAGCAGAAGCATATGGGACTCGACTCATAGTATCTATTACTTTATCACTACTGAGACATTGAGTCATACCCAATTTAACAATATCATGAATGGGCAAATCCATTTTCTTGGAGTTCTCCATACTAAAACATTTTAATATTTTCTACAAATATGTACTCTTGCTAAGTCCAATTATACGTTTCTTTCTGTCCTTGTAAATCCTCAATCCAAGAATGTATGTCGCCACTCCTAAATCCTTCATAGCGAAACATTTTCCAAGCCAAGATTGCACCTCTTGAAAAGCTGGAATATCGTTTCCTATAAGGAGTATGTCATCAACATATAAAACTAGAAAGGTTACAACACTCACACCAACTTTGACATAAACGCATGACTCATCTTCACTCCTAGAAAAATCAGAACTCTTTGACATTCTCATGGAAGCAAAGATTCCAGCTACGAGATGCTTGTTTAATTCCATATATAGACTTATCAAGATTGCACATATTATTAGGATACTTGGCATGTTCATAACCCTCTAGTCAAGTTATATAGATCTCCCCAGTAAGATTCCCGTTTAGGAAAATGGTTTTAACATCCATTTTTCATACCTCATAATCGTAAAAGGCAACTATGGCAAGCATTACCTTAATCAACTTGATCTTAAATATGATGGGTTTTGAGCATAACAACAATTCCTATGTGTGCATGCAACCCTAATGCTTTGGATCTAGGTTTTCTCTAATTGAACATGTAAACTTGAACACAAAAGGAGAAACCCTAGGATGTAAATAAAAATTTCGAAATCAACATAAAACGAGTGTTAGGTTACATACCTTGATTGTTATATTGTAATAACAATGATTCACTTGTAGATCTTGAAGCTTGAGAACTTAGTGTCACAAGTGTAACACCTCTAATGGCTCACAAACACACAATGCAAGAGAATGATATGCGAGAGGAGGAAGGAAATCACATTTTTTGTTTCTTCTTCTTGGAAACAAAGGCCGAAATCCAAGGATTGTTAGCATGTTTGGCCCCTGTGTAAAAATCCAAGATTTTCGTATGTTAGCATGTTTGGCCGCTTTGTAAAAAAAACTAAAAAATACATTTTTTGTAAATTACATGGACATTTTTTGTAATTAATTTTTTACACAGGGGCCAAACATGCTAACATACGAAAATCTTAAACATATGGATAACTTTTGTAAAAAAAAGCATAGGAACCTTTTATGAAAATTACAAACTATAAGGACGAAATATCCCAATAATGAAAACCTTGGTTGCAAAACTTTGAAATGCAAGAAAGTAAGGACAAAATTCACCAATAATTAAAACCTTGGTGGCAAAACTTTGAATACAAGAGAGTTACTATTCATTTTGAGTTTGCAATAAAGATTTTTTCTTGTTGAAGGAAAAATTCATTTATTTTAAATAATCGAAGTTTTGTTAGGTGTATTTTATATATTTGTTTTTGCATATCATTTACTTGTTTATGCATTGTATTGAGGTTTAGAAACATCATTTTACTTCAATTTTGTTACATTACATGTTTACTAGGTGAACGAGTTTATCTGCATATTTGTGGTGGATTTCAGGTGATTTGATAATTGGAACTTAGCAAAGAAGATGGAAAGGAGCTCGGGTTAAAATTTAGGGCATTGCGGCGATGAATGAGTGAGATGGAAAAACACAAAAATCACGAGAGACATGCCTTTACATGGCCCTTGTGAAATTAGGTCATGGACAATCACATAAGTAGTACTCTTGAAAAAGACAGGGGGTAGAAGCTTTTACATGGGTCGTGTGTTTTTGTTTCACAAATAAACGTGCCATATGTTTTGAAGACATACCGAAAATGGCAATCAACTTTAGAAGACTTTCTGAAAATGAGAATGCACTTACACCTTTACATGGGTCATGTGTTATTACACTGGAAATATATGTGCAATGCGTTTTAAAATAACTGCTTTTGGCAGTTTTCCCTTTTACCTATTACAAGATTCTAGTTCTCATTTTCACAGACAAACTTCACGAGAAAACTTATGGGCGATTTTTATTGAAGTTTTTTGCTCGGAAATATCTAGAAACATTATTTCATTTGATTTGTAAGTCCTATAATCATATACACACATTAATTTCTATTTTAGGCTTTGATCTTCAGTTTTAGCCATGTGTTGTTAAAACCTTTTCATTCCGCTTATGTATTACGATTGTTGGTTTACGTTTAATCATATGGTTTGATGTTATGTTTGTTAATTTTGTCTAGTAATTTTAATTTCACATTAATTAAACATTTGATTTTTACTAGGTTCATATTGGTTGCTTGAATTAGGGTTAGAACATTCCAGTTATTCGATCTGTAATAAAATCTGTAATCATTTTATTAATTGATGTAAACAATAATTCACTCAAAATTTAATGCAATTTTTCAATTTAATTCTAAAAAGGTGTTTAGAGTAGGTTAGGAAAAAAAAAGTTTTGGTTAAACAATTTGATGAACGAAGAACATTAAAGATTGTTAGTGTTTCCAAATAATAGAATATAATTTTGACGTCATTTCATGATTAAATCACATAACCCTAAAATGTAGAGCCGATCTGATTTTCTTTCAATTCTAATTTGCATGCTTCTATTATTAAAAGTTAGTCATAGCAAGATAAATCCTCATTTGACCATTATTGTACCTTATGCAAAAAGACATAGTTCCACCCTGATTACCATGTATTCTATTGTTGATATATCATAGTGAATTATAAAACATATTTTGTTCCCTTTTATTTGTGAGGCTTTATACCCTTACCAAAGTTTGTTAGGCTTGACACCCTCACCAAAGTTCATGAACATATATACAAATAGTTCAAGTACATAAATACAAATAGGCATATATTCATGACTTCATGCGTCTATTTGTATTTTAAGGAGTATTAAAAAACAAGTTCGAACCCAAATCGTTTTTAAGTTGATGCCTCATATACCCGATTTACAAACTCTAAAATAATCTGATTTAACAAGGAATCAAAACATTCACATATATTAAAGGTGAGGACTTGGGTTTGACTAATATACCCTCTTAGCATTGGAGGAATATTTAGTCCTTAAATTTGTACAAAAATGGGTCCCTTACAACTTGCTTCAAAGCCGCAGGATGTCGTGTACTTTGATGCCTTTCCTATAAATACTCTGCCATGCACAACTCTCTCTTAATTAAGGCACCAACGGTCCGTAAGTCACATCCAGTCCTTCAATGGCCTTCATCTCTAAGGTTCACAACTTCTCCGGCGACTTTCAAACTCCAGCAACCACCCTACCAATGTGGTATGATGAGACTGCACCCAATTTCTTCGATACCTATGGGATGAAAATGCCACCGGGATATGACATCACCACACCGTTATCTCGATCATCGTCATGGAAGACTTCGTTCCCGGAGAGATTTGGGTTGTCTGAGATGGTGGTTCCGACGTCACCGACCGGATTTAATAGCATTCCCGTCGGAAGTGATTATCAGAAGGTTGAAAAGGATGACTATTTTTTTAGCAGCGGGGGCTATAGTACCAACTCATGGTCGGGTTATCCCACTGCAACTGCCAATTGGGTATTGATTATTTCTTCAAAAAAATTCTTAATATTGATCTTGCATGGAACAAATTACGTGCAAAAAAGTGCAATTAACGATACATTTAGCTGCAGTAATCACCGAGTTAAGAAGTTTTTAACTGTTTGAAGAAATTTCATTCCAAAAACGAAAATTATGATCAATTTATATATTCCGTAACTATTTCATGAATTTTTGTGATCAACTCATGGTTCCCTGTTTCACATATTAATATATGCAGGAAATCGAAAACCAGAAGATGAGCACAGAAATCGAAGAACCGACATTAAAGATAGGTAGGTATTCGGTTGAAGAAAGGAAGGACAAGATCATGAAGTATCTCAAGAAGAGAAATCAAAGGAACTTCAACAAAACGATTAAGGTCGGTCTCGACCTTTGTTTCATTATTTTCTTGAAAACCTTAAAAAGACGAATCCGTATAATAAGACACTATATCAAAATTCTAGATTGCTACTGCTCAAATGTTTCATACTCATAACTTCTAAAACATATACCGATAAAATTTTGGGTGAATTTTTGTGTAGTATGAATGCCGAAAGACGTTGGCTGACAAGCGAATACGAGTTCGAGGGAGGTTCGCAAAGAATAAAAACGATCATCATCATCATCATCTTCATGATCATCATCAACCATGTGAAGATCAAGTGCTTCCGAACATCAATACTAATAGTAATCCTTGTGAAGAAGACATTCAACAATTATACACCAATAACTTTCTGGTATTAGTTGTATAACTAGTTTTTAATTATATAATTATTGTTGGCCGTTATGAGAAATTATAAGAACTAATCATTGATTTGAATGTAATGCATGCAGATGAAGCAGGATTACGATGAAGAAGAATGGCTGCAAGAAGCAATGGCAAGTTTATTGTATTCACCGTAACATAGAATATTTGTTAATTACTAATTAATTAATCGGAGTTTCTTCCATACGATCATATCCTCCATGTATATTCCTAACAGTTTGTAGCAATCAATGGATCGATCCACAAATTTTCTATCATCCTATCACGGATTGTGTTAATTAGTTCAATTTTTATTACAATTTGCATAGAATTATGTTTGCAATTTGTGTAATTTGCATACAATTATCTTCAAGAGTAGTGATAAAATGGAATAAATAAGCAAAACGGGATTCATATGTTCAGGGAGATATAAGCTTATATCAAGAAGACTTAACTTCTTGATATAGGCTCAATTTTGGTTCAAGAAAGATTCGAACTCGATCTAAGATTCTGATTAATCGGATATAAGTGCAGAATAGCCTATTTTTATAGTACAAAGCTCAATCTTCAAGATAAAATTGCGTGAAAATATCTATAATTAATTTCGACCTAAAAGGAATTCACCAAAACTTGGATCATATATAAATATATACAACATGATCACTTAAATACTGCTCGAATGATAGAAGAGAATATAGTCGAGCTTTTACTTGACTTGTTATATCTTTTGAACCCATTCTTGTATCTCTAACTAGCTTGAAAGTTTGACATAATTTACGTTCATCAAAAGCTTGAATAACATTTTTTTAGTGACAATTATAACAAAACACGAAAAGGAGGCACCAACAAGAACCGTACAAAGTACAATGTTATAATTGTTAGATTAGATGTCTAAGCCAATAACTAAATTAATATAATATTGAATTATTTGCAAAGTTCTTTTGGGTTGCCCTCAAACCTAGTAATTGACTAAGGGAACTTGGATGCCTTAGGGGGGAAACAAAAGGATTAGGGTTATCTAAAAGTAATCTAGCTTATCCTTAGCCTCCCTATCACCTATAATAAACCCTCTTAGGTTACGATTTTCGGAATTACTCATATTCTTAAAAGAGAAAACCGAAAATTTCCTTCCCTCTCCTCTCTCCTCTTAAGCCTCGAAGTTGCTAGTGTTTGGGTGTGAGCCATTAAAGGCACAAGACTTCTAGTGCTTATTTTTTGAAGACCAACAAGGAAGGATCACTAGTTTATTTGCTATAATAAACTAATGTATGAATTTTCTAATAACCCTTTATTAGTTTTAAAAATAGCAATGTACTTTTAGGGTTCTTGATATTCAATAGTTGTTTGCAAATCATAGTGAGAACATAGATCCTTCAAGGTGCATGTTGTAACATCCCAAATTTCTGATAAAATTTTTCATTTTAAAATAACGAATTCATTTCCATAAGTCATAAAATTCCAATTACAATTGTTTTCGAAATCCAGTACACTAGATAAATTATTCATAAAACCAGAGTGTCCCAAAATAAGATGCCAGAGAGTGCATGCCGCGCCATCACCCCAGACCCTTGCCCTTAGATCCTGAAGTACCTGAAACAACCAACAAACTGTAACCTAATGCTTAGTGAGTTTCCTCAGAGCATACCCCACATAATCCACATAATCACATAAACCATATTAGCTATATCAGCTACAAATACCATATAAGCCATGCATATAAACATATAAGGATGCCCTGGAAACCCTCCAAGGTCTTACACCGGGTGCCACTAGAACCCCAACGTGGTCTTAACCCACTGCCATGGGAACCCCCACATAGTCTTAACTACCTGCCATGGGAAACCCAACATGGTCTTCACTAACTGCCATGGGAACCCCCACATGGTCTTACCTAATCAAAGAAATATCATGCGAGCTACACATACAAAGATACTAGGATGCCATGGAAACCCTAAGGTCTTACACCAAATGCCATATTAAGCCCCACATGGTCTTAATCTACTGCCACGGGAACCCCCCCGGGGTCTTCCATGCAAATGTCATACACACATAAAACATAATCCACTAACAATCCATATATCTCATAATGGGCCGACCTTGGTGCCTTCGAACCATTGGTATGGTGAGGAGACTCATCTCTTAAGAAATGCTGAACTGATAAGATAAATCCCAACTCGCAGCTCCAACTCAACTGCCTACAACCATCATGTGACTAACTTTGTCAAAATCGCGAAATACCAAAAATACCCTTAAAGTCAAACTTGGTCAACCATGGTCAAAGTCAAAGTCGATAGTCAAGGTCAACAGTTCATGTTGACCCAACTCGTCGAGTGTATCTGGCAACTCGTCGAGTTCCTTCAGTATTTAGAAAACTGGGAAAAGCCCTAGCTAACTCGCCGAGTTCACTCAATATCCAGAAGGCGGGGAGACCCGATCCAACTCGTCGAGTTTCCAGGGTGACTCGTCGAGTTCTCCCCAGTCTTAACCTATTCAACCCTTTTCAGTCGATACTAAAGCCCCAAACGATAGATCTACTCCCCTAGGGTTAAGATACCACGTAAAGTTGCTAACTTTACATCCATGCAAGACATCAAAGGGGGTAAAAACACTTAAACAAGCTTATCAAGGGAATTAGAGCATGAAGGAGGGCCAAGACTTGATAAACTTGGCAACTTTAAGTTCACAAAGGCCCTGCGGTATCCAGATCTGAAGCCATATCTTCATAACATGCTCAAGTCCAAGAATAGTCCCAAACTAGGCTAATAATAGCCATAAACTTTCATAGAAGAAGATCTAAGCAATAAAAGGCCAAAGTTTCAACTTTATACGTCAATGTAGCTGTAATACTGGAGGAAATCCCAGATCTACTGCCTTCTACCCAATCTAACCTCTTCAAGCTTCAAGTTTCTTTCAAAAGAGCACCAAAAGTCACTCTCCAAGCTCACACACACAATGAGGGGAAATGGTAGAACTAGGTTTTCTCTGGACAATGGGGGCGATAAGGGAGGCTACTAATGAGGCTTAAGGCCTTTAAATAGGGTACAAGCCCTGAAAATTAGGGTTTTCCTTTCCAGCGTCTACTTGTCGAGTTGGGGCCTTCCAACTCATCGAGTAGACCCTTAATCACGCGTCCAATATGATCCTTACACGATGAGTTGGAGCTCCCCAACTCGTCGAGTTCCAGTCTAAAACCTTAAAAATTTGAGAAATAAATGATACCTGAAACAAGAGTTACAAATCTTCCCCACTTGAACTAGACTTGTTCCTCGAAGTCTGTGGACGCGAACAAATCCGGGTAATGCTCCCGCATCTCATCCTCCAGCTCCCATGTCCATTCCGAGCCCTTCCGGTGCTGCCATTGTACCTTCACTAGCTTCACCTATTTGTTACGAAGAACCTTGGTTTTCCTATCCAAGACCGTAACAGGCCTCTCAATGTAGTTTAGACTCTCATCCACCTGAATGTCATCCAAAGAAATAACTGTAGCCTCGTCAGTGACACACTTCCGAAGCTGGGACACATGGAAGGTGTTATGAATTTGGCTAAGCTCGTTTGGAAGATCCAAACGGTAGGCCACCTTGCCTACCCGGGCGGAAATCCTGAACGGTCAAATATATCAGGGCCCTAACTTGCCCTTCTTCCGAAACCTAATGACACCCTTCCATGGTGACACTTTCTGCAAGACGAAGTCTCCCACCTGGAACTCAAGATCTGAGCGACGCCGGTCAGCATAGCTCATCTGACGGCTCTGCTCGACCCGCAACCTGTTGTGCACTTGCTGGATCAACTCCGTAGTCTTAAGCACCACCTCGGTGCTTCCCATGACTAGGTGCCCAACTTCACCCCAACAAACTGGGGTCCTACACCACTGACCATACAAAATCTGGATGTAAATCGAACATCCCGGTCAAAGACCATCGACACTGGCACCCCGTGCCTGACCACCACCTCTCGCACATAAATATCTGCTAATTTCTCAGCAGTGATGCTCTCGGGGATCGGAATAAAATGAGCACTCTTCGTTAACCTATCCACAATGACCAAAATGGAATCCACACCCCTCGTTGTCCTCAGTAACTTCGTGATAAAGTCCATGGTGATCTCTTCCCATTTCCACATGGGAATAGGTAGCAACTGAACCTTGCCATGAGGCCGATGATGTTCAGCCTTGATCTTCCTGCAGGCCATGCACCGCTCCACAAACCAGGCGATCTCCTGCTTCATGCAGGGCCACCAGTAACTCAGCCTCAGATCTCTGTTACATCTTTTTAGCCCTCGGATATATAGAGAACTTGGACTTACATGCATCCTCCAATATCTTCTGTCTCACTCCCCCAGATACCGGTACCCATACCCGGCCACACTCTGTCAAGAGTCCCTACCATCCCGTACAAACAAGGGAAACTGACCCCGAATATGCTCTATCTTCCATTTCTCTTTCTTCAAACCCTCCACTTGAACCTTCTTGATCATATCTAACAATGGAGAGACCATCGTCATACTCAAACAAACGTTCCCGATCGAAGAACCCGCCGCCTTGTGGCTCAAAGCATCGACCACCACGTTGGTCTTCCCTGGATGGTACAAAATCTCGTAATCGTAGTCCTTTAGGACGTCCAACCATCTCCTCTGTCGCATGTTAAGGTTCTGCTGATCCATCAAATACTTCAGACTTTTGTGATCGGTAAAGATGGTGCACTGAACTCCATAGAAGTAATGTCTCCAGATTTTTAGGGCAAACACCACCGCCCCAAGCTCCAGGTCATGAATGGGGTAATTTGCCTCATGAGGCTTTAACTGCCTCGAGGCGTACACGATCACATGCCCCCTACATCAAAACCGCCCCTAAAACTGAGATCGATGCATCACAATGAAATACCAAATCGTCTAACCCCTCGGGTAGTTCTAGAATCGGGGCCTCACATAACCTCTGTCTCAAGGTCTCGAAAATCAACTGCTGGTCCGGGCGCCACCGGAAAGTCACATTGTTCTTGGTCAAGCGAGTCAATGGTACGATGATCTTGGAGAAATCCTGGATGAATCTCCGATAATACTCCGCTAGTCCCAAGAAGCTATGGATCTCAGATGCATTCTACGGTACTTCCCACTGCATCACTGCCTTAACCTTGGCTGGATCAACCGAAATACCCTCTTGGTTGATGATGTGCCCCAAAAACTGCACCTCTCACAACCAGAAATCACACTTTGAGAACTTGACATAAAGCCTTTTCGTCCTCAGTGTCTCCACCA